TTTCATGCAAACCGTGCCCCGTTCCGAACTAAACTGCCAGTGTGAAAGCCCCCTTAGTGACATCAATAAGTACATAGTATGTACATGGGGAACAGGACTGTAAAATAAAGTGCTACCCCAAATTTTTCCATTTGATCTATGCTTAAACCACATGACATTTTTAAAGTAATTAAATTGTAACTACTTTTGAAAATGGCCTAAAAGTTTTTTTTAAACCACATAAAACCAACTCAAATACAAAGCATACATTTCTAAGAACTTGGCTTGTGTTTTAAACTAGATTTTAAAACTGTCAGTGGTGTCTCAAATCCAAGGATGACGCATGACACAGAATGAACGATTATATAACTTTGTAAACACTAGGAAAGAAAGAGCACTAGGCTACACACATGAATGTAACATTAACACAAGACAATGAACAGAGGAGAACTGAAAGCTTAAATACACTGGAGGAAGACAATCAACGAAACAGGGAACAGGTGAGAACTAACGAGAAACCATGACAACTAATGATTCAGTGTCCCAATGTGTAGTGAGCCAGGGTCCTTTCTGTCCTTACCAGTGCCCGAATTCATGTACACAATATACTGATTCACGACCTAGGAAGCTAGTGAACAGATTGAGGCGCACCCATGAACTCAGACAAATGGTCACAATGAAAGCTACGACTAGAAACTAAACATGACAGAGAAGCTAAACATGACCGTGACAAAAACCTTCTTTTTTCCCCCTCATTTTTCATCGTGGGCACTCACACTGTTGTTGACCCACAAATACTAAAACAGATACAAATAACTTGGTCTCTAGAGCTTTTTAAGCACCTCTTAAGGTGCTACTTTATTGTTCAACTGCCTCAAGAGTTTTAAACAGCCTTCCTTACAGTTTAGTAAGTACTGAAGACCCAGCAGTGAGTGGGCTAATCAATGCGATACACTGCTGACATGTCCTTAGATGTGCTTACAGTAAATACTACTCGCCTGTTATTCACAGCGAACTTGCAAGCATTGTAGAACGGTCTCAGTGAGAGTCTGGGCCTCCTCAAAGACCAGCCACACTCCATGAATTCATTTACACATAAAGGGCTTGCCAGAATATACAATCATATCATAGAGATCTGCTGTGGAGTATGCATACGTGTATATGTGTGTAATATATGTTGTGTAAGCCATGTGAATATGATAAATTGTCACAGCGTGTGCGCTAAGGACATGGGGGGTGGAGAGATTGACATGATGCAGACATGCTGAAATCAGTCCAACTGACAAAAGCCAAATGCACAATGTAATGTTATGACTAATTGGTGAGTGTTTTCGCTTGTTAGCGTGTTGGTGTGAAGACCAAACTGGGTAATTCATGTGTGCTTCTATCATCTTGGCAGTAAACTGTAATGACTAATTTGTGAGTGTGTTTACAGATTGGACCACAAAGCGTTGTGAATAATCTAAATGTGTTTGATCAAACCAGCTGGGTTTACAAATACGATTATGACCGTATGTAGAATGGAGTAGCCTATTTATCTGTGTGTTTCTTTAAAAATGTACATCACTGTCCCTCATGTTTATTAACCAGTGCTTTGTCTTGTTGCGTTTAGCTCGTTTAAGGTAAGCTACAGTAAATATGCTGATTTCTTCTAGGACTAGTAAAGACCCCTCAAAGTAGTACGTGCATAGGCTAAGTTTCTGTGTCAAACTGAGGGGAATTAGAATGTACTTTACATTACGTGATAATTAAGATGAATATTGTAAGTAGGGATGCACAATATATCGGCCGCTATATATATATGTTCATTTTTAATGTTATCGTTATCGGCCCAATAAGAAAATGTGGCCGATATATTAAAGCCGATAAATAATGGATTATTTCCTTCTGCTGAGATACTTGAGATCTGCACTGTTCACCATAATGGTTTTAAATTGCTTGAAATATGATTAGAATCACTTCAAAAAAGGAAAATACCGTTAAGTGCAACATGTGCAGCACAAGTCTCTCATATAGGCTACATACAATTATAATGAGAACATTGTAATTGTGTGCTTGGGACATGACTTTTAATGGTGAGACTTTAGTTTTTGTAATCAGGCTCTCAACAATTTTATAAAAATTATAAATGGGGTAGAGACTGGTTTAATGGTATGGTTATAGGTGGGTTGTAAGGGCAGTAATCTGTGGGCTCAAAGCTCACGTTTGGCTTGTGCGAAAAAGAGTTAATGGGAGATGGAAACACATTTGCTGAGTAAATTCTGACGTATAGCGAACATTAAACCCAGACTAATCGGCTGTTTCTTATTTGTTTTTTTTTATTTTGAACTTTGAAAAGATTCGCTTCACGTTTGGATGGAAACCCAGCTATTGGTAGCTTGTCTCTCTTATCTTATCACTCAGTGTATGTGATGACAGACGAATGAGTCCCCTGAGGCCAGAGAGAGAGACAACCATCAGCTTGCGCACCCACCAGTCAGCCATTAACCATTAGACATCACACTATGACCCACAGCTGCCCCTTCTCTCACACACACACACACACACACAAACACACACACACACACACACACACACACACACACACACACACACACACACACACACACACACACACACACACACACACACACACACACACACACACACACACACACACACACACACACACACACACACACACAGGTGTACATGCACAGGTATGTAGACAGATTTGTTCTGTACCACTTTTTCAGGAATCCGTAATCCAGGAATAAAACCTCAAGGTTCCAACAGCGGAGAGATCATCAGAGATTCTATTTCTTCAACACCGCCTTCATGCCCTTACATCAATTATTTGCCCTATGTCTGTAGGAATCAGTGGAAAAAAATGACGTTCTCGTGGAGCTAAAAGAGACTCCCTCCATCTCTATCCTCAGCTTATAAACATAAATCTGCGTGTTTACTACGAGACTGTTAAAATTAGAACAAACAAAGCAAGATTTGAACTGTGAGCGGCTTACAGAATATTAAATCTTATATAGGCGGCTGAGAGTGAGCAGTTTTATGTTCTACGTGTCTAATGTGAGCATCTGGCATTGAATCATAAAGGAAAAATATTCAATATTTTTATAGCAATCCTGTTATTCAGAAAATCATATCAATGACTGCTGGTCTTTCTTTATTCAAAGAACAAAGAAAAGACCTCACTCTCTTTGTGACCTGACTGAGATGAGGATCTGTTTGTAAAATGCACTTGATGAAGTGTGTTAAAAATCTGATTTGTTTAGCCACGATGAAAGTGTGCTATTTATACAGTCATGACAAAAGAATCTCTGATTATAATTCAGAGGATAAGAAGTTGGCTGCATGCTGTCAGGATAAAGCAAGCATCTCTATTGCTGTGGTGTTAATGCGGTCTTTGTAACAGTGTTCTGTTTAGGTCTGGAATTTAAATAGACATGGTGAAGAACTAAATAATGAAAAGCTGTGTTGATTAAATAAATATCCATTGTGATTGTTCGGAAAAGGAGAACAAATGAACACAGGGAAAGAGGTGACAGACTGACAGAAAATTAAACCAAAACTGAGCATAACTGTGAAAGCCAAGTAGTGGTGTTTCATTCCTAATCTGAATCTGTGTTTTGAACAAATCATTTGAGTGAGCGATTCAGTGACTCAGTGACTCACCGCCACCTGCGCAAGGATGTAACATGCAGAAAGAGTTGCTGAAAAATCCCCACCAGTAATGCACAGACAATACTGATTACTGTACTGTCTTTTCTCGTTATGTATTTTTTTCTTACCAAATTGAAAGCAATATAATTTACTCTAAACAGTTTCTACTGTAAGACATGTTGAAAATACTTGACTAACAAAATTAGTTGACAAAAATAAGATAAGCGTAAAGTGAGGTCAACAAATTTGACTTTGTTGTTGCGCCTATTTGCAAAATAATGTGGTCTTTTGAACATACAAGGCATGCTGTGATAATGATTGTAGATAAAGCATTAGAAGCTGGCTTTAAAGTCACCATGAAATCAAAATTGATCATTCTTTTTTTTTTTTACAGACAGTTGTGTTGTTTATTATAAATGATCTAGACATGCGCACAATTTTTTTTATTCATGTGCACTCGCAATTTTTAATCAAAAACATTAACCTCCCCTCCCCCTCCAAACGATGTCTGTTCTCTCGGCAGAGGGTGGGACTAAATATACACCAAAACTGACTGCAAACTGGCATTCAGATCTGCCTCCATTTACTTAGCAATGCCCAACTTCCTACGATCCAATCAATTCCGGATGGACAAAATTCAGCTCTGCCCTACATTTTTCTTTCATTCCACAAAACTTTTCACTTGGATATGCGTCAAAATAGGGACGTTAAAGTTGGCATGAAATGAAATTTTACATTATTTTCTAAACGCATGTTACTGATCTTACTGTAAACGATTCATCCAAGTGTATGTTTAATTTTTTTTATTGTTTTGAAAAATGTTTTATTTTTGAACAAAATGTCAACTGTATCTTCCAGTGAAATGGCAGACTTCTCTCTGGTGACATATGCTGGACTTCTCCAATCATTTAATCATTTAAGCCCCACCCCTTTGTTGCAGTCATCTGCAAGCTGGCATTCAGATCCGCCACCATCCAATATACAACTGATGGACAATTGTACCAAAATATACCAATTCCTTCCCCATATATATATATATATATATATATATATATATATATATATATATATATATATATATTTATTTATTTATAAACACTGCAATATTCCAAAATAAATAAATTTTGATTTCATGGTGACTTTAAGAAAAATCACTTCTGTGTGCCTCATCTGTGTTCAAAACACTTTCCTTCCCTCTGCAATGGGGAGGAGGACAAACCCTTTTTCGATAGCGCATTAAGTCTGGACGGATCGCCTCAGAAGCAATGCCCCAATGCTAAAACTGACCTAGTTTTAATGGAGAGCATTGCAGTGACTATTCAAGCTGATAGTGCTTAAATGTAATGCCCTACAACCATACTCACTGCTCTCCACTCATGTGTGTTAACTCATGCCAGGAGTGTCCACTTCCTCTCTTTCTTTCCTTGCCCAGATCTCACTGGATCACACTTTCTTTTCCGATGCATCTCTTTTGCGGCCTCTTTTTCTGTCTCTCTCTTCCACTCTGTGAATGTGTTGACTCTGTTGAGGGACTCAAGGCTTTCCCACTGTTTTGTTTTTATTTATTTGAAGTTGAATGTAATCCCACGCATCCCCAGATGTTGAGACAATGCTGACTCCAGCAGCCTTAGACTTCCTCACATACCAATGTGTCAAGGTTTAGTTCCATGCTAAATCCTTACATGCATTGTAAAGCTTTAAAGGTATAGTTCACCCAAAATTACAGTTCTGTTGTGTATATTGTGTGTTGCTGCCTGTTCTGCTATCATTTATCATTAAACCTTTGTGTTGGAAATATATCCTCGTCTCGGTCTGCCTTCCTGCAACCTCACGTGACAGAAGATCGGACCAAAACTACAAAAAGAGGCACTATGAATCTTTTCCTGACCCCTAACACTCCAGCCAACCAACTCATCACCATCTTTCAGGATGATCGTCCAATTTAGGAGTATGTACAGGATTTTCTGGGACTTGCCAACCAGGTTGCATTAAGTGATAGTTCCAAGAAGATCATGTTTTGGTGCGGTTTAGTGGACGATCTTTATAACCAGGCACCAGTAACAGCTACCACTTGCTCCTTGGATAGCTATATTGACCATATACTGGGGCTATGTGGTTCGTCCCTCACAGTTGGTGAGGTCGACGAAGACACCACCACCACTCAACCACAGTCACCCTGGTTCACTCCAGTCTTGCAGCCAGGCCCTGTCCATCATCCAGAGTCTCGTCCTGCCGAGACCACCCTTCCAGAGCCTCGTCCCAAGATGGCCGCGGTCACTCCAGAGCCTCCTCCCAAGATGGCCGCCACCACATCGCCTGAGCCCTCAGCGGAGATGGTCACCACCACACCGCACAAGCCCTCACCAAAGCTGGTCGCCACCACACAGGGATCCCCAACCTTCTTCCTGAGTCCTGATCTCCCGCCCAGCCACCCTCTGCCGCCTCCTCCTGTCCAGCTTTCATCTTCATCTCTTCCGCCCCTTCAGCCCCGTCACTCGCCCTCTAGACGCTAGTGGAACGGTGGGCTCGCTGAGGGGCTTCCAGTCCTCAGCGCCATCATGGGCAGTGGATACCTGGGATCCCACTCCAGCCACCGTGACCATGATTCCACAACAGCCCATGAGGCCACTGGCTTAACCTTGGCTCCTACCTTCTTCATCTCCGTCGTGGCCCATCAGTTCACCAGTTCCACCAGGCTCCCTCGTCCCCCCAGATACGCCTTGGTCGCTCGTCGACCTTCCATCACCTCTGGACTGTAATCCTCTGGCTTCGCCTCGTCCCTTCGTCCCTTCGTCCCCCCGGCTCCTTTGGACTCCTCACTCCCTTCTGCTACTCCTGGGTCCTCTGTCCCTCTGTCTTCACCGCGCCCTTCTGTGTCCCCATCTATGCCTCAGTTGCCTGAGCCAGCGGCTACCCGTGTCCCTCTGAACCCTCTGCTCCACCATGGTCCGGCATACCTCCATCTTCTCTCTGTCATCCTCCCTCATTGGTTCCGCCTCAGTCCGTCATCGCCCTGAAACCTTCTGCCCTTTAGCCTCCATAGCTCCTCCCTCCATTGGCTCCACCATGGGTCATGGGTCATGAGTCTTCCCGCTGAATACACCGTCCTTCTGCCTGGACCCTCTTCTCCCTGTAATTTGCCTACCTTCTCCAGCCCTTTGCCCATTCCTGTTGCCAGCCCTCCGCCTGCTCCTCTTCCTCCTCCCAAACCCCCACCTTCATCTCTATCTTTACGGCACGAGGACACGCCTTGCGGGGAGGGGCGTTCTTTCACAGTTTTGTTTTGTTTAGTTTGTTTTCATTGGACTTGTCTGCCTGGCATCACGTCACGTGCCATCTTCACTGTCATTATCAGTTCATCTGTATCACCTGTGTTCAGTTAAACTGTAAACTGTACCGTTAAGTAATTCTCTTCATAAAATCTCATTTATACTTCACTTTTCACACAGTACAGATTAGAAACCACCCATGAGTACCAAGATTACCATCAGAAGACTATATACTTAACCTTAATGCTTGCTGCTATGACACCTCCACCACTTGTCTTTTTTTCTTTCTCCTTTCCCTTCAGAGGAACATGCAGACGCTTACACATACAAACTCTCATCGCGTGCTTTATCCCTCACTGCCTTCACTTTTCTCTCTCTCTCTCTCTCTCTCTCTCTCTCTCTCTCTCCCCCCTCCCTGTGCTTGTTTCTAGTGGGTGCTGTGAGGCGATGACAGTTGTATTAGCAGTCGATTGCGAGGTCACTCTCGCTCAGCTCCTCTGAGACACAGCAGTACAGCAGAGGAGCAAAGCAGAAACAAGAGCAACAAATAGAAAGAATGAGATATCCAGTCAGAGATAGCTGAATTTTTTTCATTGCTAACATTGTTTTTCCTTTACACGGTGATATGAGGGAACGTTACTTCTTGATGACCAATCCAAGTAAGATTTAGTTAGATAACTGGGTCAGTGACATGACACATTTTTTTTGTCCTAGTGATAAATATTAAAAAATAAATTGATAATGCAATTCGCACATGCAATGACTTGAATATACTTATTCCAGATTAGTATTACATTTCTGAATAAAAAATCTTTTGGTTATTTTTTGGAGTGTGTAAAGTCAAAAGTGTCTGGCTGTTCTGATACCATAATGAATTAAAAAAAGCATCATTAAATGAATTAAATTCTTGGCATAATCTTCTTTTAATATTTCCTATGGGGAAAAATATCCAGAACAACATAAAACGGGAAATTATATGTCATAGAGGGGACCCCCTCAGACCCTCATGACTGTGTACGACTGTCAGTAAATCTCTTAAAATATCAGGTAAATTTTACCTCTTTATGACAAATCAAGGTTAGTTTAGGTTGTAAAATGTCATGTTGTACAACTCCCCAAAAACATTTATGAATGAATTATTCATGATATTTGTAAAACAAAAACAAAAAACAACATGATATTGATTGACTGAATACATGATATTTGCAAATAAATTATTATTCATATATTTTTGGAAATACTGGTTAAGATGTGTAATACATGTATTAAATGTATAAAGGAAAATATGAGATTACTTTTTACTTTATGTTTACATACATCACATAACATTTTTCATTAAATTGAAACTTTTCTTTACTTTTCTTTTGGTGAAAGCATTAGAGAGAGTGCAGAAACTGCGTTGCAATGATAAGATCTTCATTCTCGCGATCAACAGCTGTCATCTGCTTGCTCAATGCTCATCACGGCAACATTTTATGTGATGGGAATAGATCTAAATACTTTAAAAACTTCTCACGATTCGTTAATCTCGATAGCTGTAAAACGTATAATAGCTGTAGTAAAAGTATTCGAGAGAGTTTCACATGTAATATGTAGCTATTTCATATGCAAGCATGTCAGCCAATCACACCAGTGGCCGGTTACACTGAATCCCACAGCAGACACGCCCCTTCAAACAGAGCGTTCAAATCAGAGACTAAAATCAGGCTTGGAAAAATGCCTTTTATTTCTAAATTATGACTATTTTTGATCTAAAAAACATACTAACATTATAAGGGCAACCCAGGAAACATTATAAAATAATAAAATAACCCCATGTCGGGACCTTTAAAGGATTTTTCCTTAGAGACTCTTATTTGCTTACATCATTGGCTCAACTTTATTCTCACATCTGCTGCTATCTGACCTGCTGCTATTTGTAGTTTAGTGGATAAATGCATAGATCAGGAATACTGAATCTAAGTTGTTTGTCTTGTGAAGAGATTTTTTTGGTTTAATAAGGGATCCGGCTCAAATGCAACTTTTATTTTAATAAACTAAACTGCAGATGGAGATGCACAGTATATAATTCCCTTGCTGCAAGATATAAAATGATGGGGACAAAATCAGCTTTGAGGAAGTCCCTACCATACAGTAAATGACAGTTGTGGCAGCTGAACATCTGGGAGGTCTCTTGCCAAATCTTTTGGGAATCCTGTATCTTTGGCTGAAGAAACGACATGAGAAGTAAATGAAAGTGATATGGCATTTTAAGAAGACTGACCTATCCGTGATGCCCCATATAAGGAAAGCCATGTTAGGGATTCCCCTCATCACTAATGCAGGTCTCTGTTCTTGCATCAAGGTGCCAATCACGGCATCAGAGACAGCGAGGCACCCAGAGCTGGCTGTGCGTCTCCCGACAGAGGAGGACACAGTCTGTTACTCCTACACTATAAATAGACTGATGAGAAGCCTCCTTTGGGAACGCTGGATTCTTTGGGGAAAACATGTGAGCCTGAGTTTATGGGCTGTTGAATGTTTGCTATAAAGATTCGACAGATGGTGTAGTTGGGTTGACAGTGGGGCACCTCGTCCTAGTTGAAAAATTTAAAATCCCTCAAGAACGGTAAAAACTGCTGTTCTAATTCACAATGCTTCTTTTACGGGTGTATTCACATCCTTATTACTTTTATACTATGTTTTCCTCCTTGACAGGACATTTTTTATGCACACATGTATTATACGAGAGGCAGGGCATCATATACAGTAGTTGTACTGAGGCAAATCTGGATTACTTGGTGCTCCAGTTTAGATAAGACACGACTAAAGGGAAAAAAAAGTATTTTAAACTCATTATAAATATTTTTTTAATGTATAAGATTCGTTAGTTAGTCTAGTATTAAAGTTTTTGTTTATATGCAAGGCACCCTGACCAGGGCCGTAGCTAGAGGATTCGGGGCCCCCTGAAAAAATATTGATGTGGGCCCCCACCACCCTCCACCAATACTGTACAATAGCTGAGCATGGAGGCCCACATATAATAGAAGATGGTGATGTTGTTGTAAAACCTTTATTTTAAAAGTTAAATGTTTATATAAAAAGTACAACTAATAAAAACTAACAAAAAGCAAGAAATTTTTAAATAATAATAAAACCAATTAAAAAAAATCAGTCTGTTATAATTCATAAATCAAAAAGTAAACATTTAAAATTGACAAGAAAACGGTCTAATTAAAAAAAGAAAACCATTTAAACCACTTATTGTCTTATTTTTTAATAAAGATAATATGGAA